TAAGACACACCCTTGTTACGTTCATATTAGTGGATGACAGAGAGGGAACACGGCTTGTCAAGCTGATACTTGAACCAAAAACAGGGGACATGGTGATGTAAACATCACATGGGTTCAACTGACGTGAAGTACCCTTGTCTCTATCCACCATCTTTAATTAGAAATAAGGAGATGACTCACGCACAACAGCAGCACTTAAGGTTGAATGACAGGCCCAATATTTTAGAGGTGCGGGGGGTTGTTTGTTGTTTTGGTTTATTTACAGAGTTTACAGAGTTTGCACAATTCAGTATGCTGAGCACTGGGGGCTGGAATGGGTTGGTTCAAAACGAGTGCTTCAGTATTGTGTTGTCCTCTCACACACAAACAAGTGCCAGCAGCACTGCACCCTTGACCAACCCTAAAGAACAAACTAGTATGCATGCAAATTAGCCAACAAAGGGAATAAAATACAGTTAGAGGTAAAGGTCACTTTAGCTTCAAGTTTTTAAAATGTATTTGCCTTTCAAGACCTTTGTTCCTTTTTTCTCAGGGGGAGGAGAGGGCGGGAGCATTTGGCGTCTATTTAAATGAAATTAAAAAATCTGAAGATTTTATTTCCTGTTGGTATCAACAATCCAACAAGCTTTGCCACAGAATGCAGACATGGAGGAGGAGACTCAGGGAGTTGGAAGATGTTGGAGAAAGAGCTGTGGAAAATTCAGTCAGGTAAGTGGATAAAGGAAGACAGAAGGGAAATTTTATTTTTGGAATTGTGAACACCAAAAAAGTCCCAGACAGGAACCTTTGGGTTTGAATTGTTGGCTTTTAGGGGTATTGAGGAGCAATGGAATTATTTAATAAAAGAAACAGTGTATACTACATGACCTCACATTCACATCTCTGAATACATAAATTTGATCAGCTGCCATCATTTACTACTCATTTAGAAAATGAATAGGAAAGAAATACACGTAGGCTTCCGGACTAGCACATGAGCACAATGTCTCAGTTTGTACTGAAATTAGCATATCAAAAACATTTGCAAAGTGGCACAATGACTTGAGTTGCAAAACAAGCCTATGTTTTTGGCTCTTACAGTGTTTTAGTAAGGCTGGTTCACACTTAAAAATTAGATCAACATTGCTATGTTGCTCAAGCCTGTGAAAAATACCCCGAGAGCCACAGTTAGGTCAACCTAACCTTCGTGGCAGACACGGCTAGACTGAAGGAAGAAGGGCTTTTTTGGCAACACAGGAAACCTCTGTTATAGCACTACAGCACCACAGCTGTAGTGTAGACATGCCCCAAGATAAGGACAGTAAAAGCTTTTTTATCCAGCATGTTGGGGGAATGGGAAGTGCTGGTAAGTGAAAAATGCTAGTTAAGAAAGAGTGCAGGAGTTTGGGGGGTGGGGTGTGCAGGGCTACGGGTTAGGGTGTGGGGCGCTCTGGGAGGGAGTTTGGATGTGGGACAGGGGGTGCTCACCTCAGGCGGCTCTCCGCAAGCGGCAACCAATGCCTGCGGACTCTAGGCAGAGGCACACCAGGCAACTCTGCACAAGCTTCCCCCGTCCGCAGGTGTCGCCCCTGCAGCCCCATTGGCCGCGGTTCCAGGCAGGGGCAGCATGCAGAGCCGCCTTGCCACGCCTCCTCCTATGGGCCACAGGGTCTGGTCGCTGCTTGCGGGGAGCCGCCCGAGGTGAGTGCCCGGCGGATCCAGCACCCCGCACTCCCTCCCGCACCCAAACTCACTCCCAAAGTCCACGCCCCACACACCCCTGCAAGCCCCAAACCTGCACCCCTCCCCCGCACTCCGAACCCCTCGTGACCGTTCCTCCCCCTAGAAGCAGCAGGCACATGTCGCTGCTTCTGGGGAGCCACGCACGGAGCCTGCCGGCCCTGCACCAACCGGAATATAAACCAGACATTCTATGAAGATTAGAAATGCCGGTTTATAGAGCTTTCCAGTTGGTACAGGGCCAGATAACACAGCTTTTAATGTGAAAAGAACACATGGCTTAACCCTGACAGTGTCCTGCAAGTTTCAAATATCCAATGACTTATTATAAATTATTTGGAATAAAAACTGGATGCAAAAAGTAAGAAATATTGTCATTGTAGTGAGTGGCTCTCCACTGCTTGTAACACACTGGACATCCTGCTTTTACAATCTACTACAAAAATGGGCATACATCTACCTAGATACATGCAGGTTTACTGAAGAAGTCCTATGCCTTTCTACCTAATGAGAAATTGTTGGTTTGTTACCCAAGAACATACTGCTCATAACACAAACTTTTTTCTCCTCCATAAACAACAATTCTAAAAACAAGCACCAATGTGTTTTATACTGCTATGTAATTTTTAATGCATTTGCATGTTGGTCTAAGGTTGTTTTGTTTTTTTAATATATCTGGTATCACTGCAAGGAATACCAAAAAATTTTATTTTACAGTATGCTTACCTTGTACATTTGAGTTTCAAATAGGATGTGATATTAAAAATCACAAAGACTGTCAGGGACACATACAGAATGCAAAAATACTTCAAATTCGTTTTTTAAATTCACTAGATATCAAATGACAACAATTTAAAGATCCAAAATAATTAGATACAAATAGGGGACTTCAGAAGAGCTATAAAACAAAGGTCATGAAAGATCCCATGGTTCTTTTATGACAGACAGGTTGTTAATCCATTTGCACTGATTTAAATTACAACTCTAGTTGATTCATATCCTCTAAAACTGAGCTTTATCTTTCCTCTGACCCTCACATTCAGAACACTCTCCACTACCGTGATGTCATCTTTGTCTTCTCTTTCTTCCTCCGCTTACTCATAGGATGTAGAGATGGAAACCCACTGGCTCACCCTGGTCTGTCTCGACAATAATGGAAGATTATTCCATAACGTACATGGATTAGACACTAGTAAAACCTAATTTTACATTTGTAAAGTATTGGGGCCTCCTCCACTTCCCTGGAGAGATTATTCACTGAACATACAGATGTTCAGTCTAAATTTTCTCTTTTTAAATTTTATCCCAGTACTCCTAGTTATATCCCCCTTTTGCCATGCTAAATAATCTTCCTTCCTTCTCGGGGTTTACACCCTTCAAATCTGTGTAGATTTATGTCCCCTTCATCAAATTCTGCTGTTCTTTACATCTCTAAAATTATTTTATTCCTCTCCATATCTAGCGCCTACTAGTGTGGGCTAACACGTTATGTCCCAACTTACTCATTTTATAGCCTTTCAATCCATACAAAAGTATATCTTGCTAGTCACTACGCTTTTTCATCCTTAGATCTATAAATGGTTAAAGTTTGGCAAAAAATTATAAACAAGTGAAAGCAAGGTCTTACAATGGAAAGTTTCAGGCAACCTTAACAACAGGCAGCACTACCAGCCCCACCTCTAATACTGACTTTGTTTTTCTAGTATCTCTATAACTCTGCCTTGTCTACACTGCTGCTCTTCTACTTCTACATGCCTTCCCATGGCCACTCTCTACAAAAGAGCCTCTCATGACCATTCCCTGTGTCTTTTTCACCCACTCCAATGTTTGTGACAAAAGAAAACCCACTATCATCTGCATCACCCTCCTGTATGCCTAAAACCTTCCAAAAGTGGATGCCAAACTTGCTCCCACTCATTCAAAACACTTCTGAAATCATACCTAATCTGTGAAGCATCTAAACTATTCTCAGCTATGATTTTTTCTAATACAAGGTTCCAAACACTCTGGGGGAGGGAGCTGTTTTGTTTGATCCTGCTCTCCTAGGCTAATCCTGCAAACAAGAGCCCTTAACTTTAAGCCCACACATAAACCTTTGCAGCATAGGGACCCTACCATACAGCAGCATGTATGCACTATGACCACCATCACCCTTAAAAATGACACAAAAATACTTAATTATGGGGTGGGGGAGCGGAGATAAAAGTCAAAAATCAGTATTTTTCATAGCACAATCTGCAGTGCCATGAATACAAAGTGAGCATCTCTGTGATCCAAGCATAATGACAGGTTTCAGAGTAACAGCCGTGTTAGTCTGTATTCGCAAAAAGAAAAGGAGTACTTGTGGCACCTTAGAGACTAACCAATTTATTAGTCTCTAAGGTGCCACAAGTACTCCTTTTCTTTCTGTGATCCAAGGCCACCCCTAGGCACAAAGCCTGACAGCTTGCTGTCCCACCTTCAGCCCCTAAAAAATAAGATCAGCTTGATTAATAAGTCCTGCATGTATTAATATATGCTTCCTCAAGTGCCTTTTCTGAACAACTGCACTTTGCTTTGTCCATCTTAGACTGACACTTCTTCCTACCTCCCTTGGAAAGGACAGGGAATGTGCCTCACTCTGTTTAAGAGCTATGCAAACTCATGGCTAGGCTTACAGGAATTTGATTTATCTATGTAAGTCAACAAATATCAAGCATTTTCAAAATTCTTATCTATTTAAATTTTCACAGTTGCAGAAAATGATGGAAAGGTCAGACGGGGGGGGGGGGTCAGACAATAATTACTTAATGACAGCAGACATTAAGTTTTAAAAAAATAAAATTTTATAACCATTAAAACACAAATTGCCAACACCACCTGTCAAAACATACAAAGCAAATATCCTTAAATCAAACTCTAATACCTCTCGAAGCAGCATTTTTCCTACTTTACCTATTGGTGTATTTCAGTCATCACAGATGGAGATTTTTTTTTTAACCTGTGTATGGTGAAACTGACATTTACCAACATTTACTGATAAAACTCTAACCCTTCCAAGCCTAGGGTATGGCCTATATGTGTGATTTTTTTTTTATTAAGAATCTCCCTTCTTCGTATCTTTAAGGCCCCAAGCCATCCCAATGTCCATAGCCAACAGCCTGTTGCCCCCCTCATCTCATCTCCCGCTCCGGCAGCACCCCGAGGCTATCCCCACAGGCAGAGATGAGAGTGCCAGAAGGGACCCTGGTGCACGTCTAATCTGGCCTCCTGCACAACGCAGAGCGGAGGACTCGGCTGAACTCACTCCTCTTCGAATTAGCGACTCTGGGGCCCAGCTTCCACTAGCTCCTGCCGAGAGCAGCCGGGACGCATCCCTGGCATAACAGGTGATCCGTTTACACCAGCCCCGAGGCCGGGGCCACGAGTTCGGGGGCAGGGGCCGCCAGTTTCTCCCCTTACAGCGGGGGGCAAGGGGCTGCCGGGCCCGTCTCCCCCTTCCCACCCGGGCTCCTGGCCCACATGCAGGAGGAGGGAGGAAGCCACCCCCGGGCATGGCGGGGAGCGGGCAGCCCGGCTCGGCGGGAAGGGAGGCAGGGCCCTGGGTGGGCCTGCACCGGCCCAGGCCCGCCGGCACTCACAGAACTCGGCGACGTAGGAGGACACGGCGTAGTTCTCCTCGCACCACTCCAGGGTGGAGGTGGGCGCGCCCCAGTAGCCGGCCCTGTCGGCGGCGGGAGCCATGGCGCTGCGCTGCCTGCGTGCGACCGCGGCCGGGCCCGGACGCTCACTGCGCGGCGCGGCCTGAAGCGGAGGCGGGAGGTGGCTCCGCCCACAGGCCGGGCCCGGGCGGGGCCGCCGGGCCCAGAGCCCGCCCCGCTCGTTGCCAGGGCGACCGGCTGCGGCCTGCAGGGTGTCGGCGCCAGTCGGGGAGCAGCGACTGTGACCCGCCGGGGCCGGTTCGTGGGCGGCAGCGCGGTTTGGGGGGCTGGGGGCGGGGCGCTGGCAGAAGCAGAGGTTTAGGGGCTGGGGGCGGGAAGGGGGGAGGTTTGGGGGGCTGCCAGACGCGGAGGTTTAGGGGCTGGGGGCGGGACGGGGGAATGTTTGGGGGGCTGGCAGAGGCAGAGGTTTAGGGGCTGGGGGCGGGAAGGGGGAGGTTTGGGGGGCTGCCAGAGGCAGAGGTTTAGGGGCTGGGGGGCGGGACGGGGGAAGGTTTGGGGGGCTGGCAGAGGCAGAGGTTTAGGGGGCTGGGGGCGGGACGGGGGGAGGTTTGGGGGGCTGGCAGACGCGGAGGTTTAGGGGCTGGGGGCGGGACGGGGGAATGTTTGGGGGGCTGGCAGAGGCAGAGGTTTAGGGGCTGGGGGCGGGAAGGGGGGAGGTTTGGGGGGCTGCCAGAGGCAGAGGTTTAGGGGCTGGGGGGCGGGACGGGGGGAAGGTTTGGGGGGCTGGCAGAGGCAGAGGTTTAGGGGCTGGGGGCGGGACGGGGGGAGGTTTGGGGGGCTGGCAGACGCGGAGGTTTAGGGGCTGGGGGCGGGAAGGGGGAGGTTTGGGGGCTGGCAGAGGCAGAGGTTTAGGGGCTGGGGGCGGGAAGGGGGGAGGTTTGGGGGGCTGCCAGACGCGGAGGTTTAGGGGCTGGGGGCGGGACGGGGGGAGGTTTGGGGGGGCTGGCAGAGGCAGAGGTTTAGGGGCTGGGGGCGGGAAGGGGGGAGGTTTGGGGGGCTGCCAGACGCGGAGGTTTAGGGGCTGGGGGCGGGACGGGGGAAGGTTTGGGGGGCTGCCAGAGGCAGAGGTTTAGGGGCTGGGGGCGGGAAGGGGGAGGTTTGGGGGGGCTGGCAGAGGCAGAGGTTTAGGGGCTGGGGGCGGGAAGGGGGGAGGTTTGGGGGGCTGGCAGAGGCAGAGGTTTAGGGGCTGGGGGCGGGAAGGGGGGAAGTTTGGGGGGGCTGCCAGACGCGGAGGTTTAGGGGCTGGGGGCGGGACGGGGGAAGGTTTGGGGGGCTGGCAGAGGCAGAGGTTTAGGGGCTGGGGGCGGGAAGGGGGAGATTTGGGGGCTGGCAGAAGCAGAGGTTTAGGGGCTGGGGGCGGGGCGGGAGGCTGGCAGAAGCAGAGGTTTAGGGGCTGGGGGCGGGAAGGGGGAGGTTTGGGGGCTGCCAGAGCGGAGGTTTAGGGGCTGGGGGCGGGACGGGGGAAGGTTTGGGGGGCTGGCAGAGGCAGAGGTTTAGGGGCTGGGGGCGGGAAGGGGGGAGGTTTGGGGGGCTGGCAGAGGCAGAGGTTTAGGGGCTGGGGGCGGGAAGGGGGGAGGTTTGGGGGGCTGGCAGAAGCAGGGGTTTAGGGGCTGGGGGCGGGAAGGGGGGAAATTTGGGGGGCTGCCAGACGCGGAGGTTTAGGGGCTGGGGCGGGACGGGGAAGGTTTGGGGGCTGGCAGAGGCAGAGGTTTAGGGCTGGGGGCGGGAAGGGGGCGGGGCGGGGGCTGGCAGAAGCAGAGGTTTAGGGCTGGAAGGGGGAGGTTTGGGGGCTGCCAGACGCGGAGGTTTAGGGGCTGGGGGCGGGACGGGGGAAGGTTTGGGGGCTGCCAGAGGCAGAGGTTTAGGGGCTGGGGGCGGGAAGGGGGGAGGTTTGGGGGGTTGGCAGAGGCAGAGGTTTAGGGGCTGGGGGCGGGAAGGGGGGAGGTTTGGGGGGCTGGCAGAAGCAGGGGTTTAGGGGCTGGGGGCGGGAAGGGGGGAAGTTTGGGGGGCTGCCAGACGCGGAGGTTTAGGGGCTGGGGGCGGGACGGGGGAAGGTTTGGGGGGCTGGCAGAGGCAGAGGTTTAGGGGCTGGGGGCGGGACGGGGGAAGGTTTGGGGGGCTGGCAGAGGCAGAGGTTTAGGGGCTGGGGGCGGGAAGGGGGGAGGTTTGGGGGGCTGGCAGAAGCAGAGGTTTAGGGGCTGGGGGCGGGAAGGGGGGAAGTTTGGGGGGCTGCCAGACGCGGAGGTTTAGGGGCTGGGGGCGGGAAGGGGGGAGGTTTGGGGGGCTGGCAGAGGCAGAGGTTTAGGGGCTGGGGGTGGGATGGGGGAAGGTTTGGGGGCTGGCAGAGGCAGAGGTTTAGGGGCTGGGGGCGGGAAGGGGGAGGTTTGGGGGCTGGCAGAGGCAGAGGTTTAGGGGCTGGGGGCGGGAAGGGGGAGGTTTTGGGGGCTGCCAGACGCGGAGGTTTAGGGGCTGGGGGCGGGGCGGGGAATGTTTGGGGGGCTGCCAGACGCGGAGGTTTAGGGGCTGGGGGCGGGAAGGGGGGAGGTTTGGGGGGCTGGTAGAAGCATTTTGGGGATTTTCCCTGATTTGCGGTATCACTCCTGCTCACCTTATACAAGTATTTCCTTTAGTTATTACTGTTTATATTACATTAGCACCCAAAATATACCAACTGATTTGCAAGCACTGAGGAAGCCAATCCCTGCCCCAAAAAGCATATAATCTAAAAAGACAAAGCAGGGAAGGGATACAACATACAAGTACAGACCCAGTCCAGCAATGATCTCTATTGGGGTATACCCCAGGGCCAGTGAGGATCCCCATTGATTTCAGCAGGGCTGCATACAGGTATAGGGCTTCATTCACACAGACCTCCTAGGCACATCTTATTATTCATCTTTGTTTCCTTTTCTCTCTTTTTAAGTAAAACACTAATTTCACCTCTCACCTCCTTCTACAATTTAGCTCCATCTTCCCCAGGTTCAGTTCCAGGGATCCCCCTTCTAATATTTGAACCTCTCCCTCCACATAATTGAGCAATTCACTCATAAGCTAAATAAATGAGTAGATGCTTTAAGGTTTGTCTAGGCTAGCTAAACCAAACTTAAACTCAGTCTCTGTTCCTAGAGTAGATGCAAACACATAAGCAGGCACATACCTTGACTCACATGAATAGTAACTATTTGTGTATTTTTTATAGTGGTATAAGCATTTCTTAGGGGCATAAAATGTTTGTGGCTTCAAAACATAATTGCTTCAATGTTAACAATTAAAAGAATTTAGACTTTCAATACATTAATGTTATTGCAAACTTTTATATATATATGCCAGATTTTTCAAAAATAGACTCCCAGATCTATATTTAGGCACCTAAGGGTGGGATTTTCGAAAACATCTGATTTAGGTGCACCGGCACCATTGACTTCAACCTGCAGACCCTGATGGAGGAGTAGAGCCTGGTTGAAGCATTTCAGCTTCTTGACTTGTGGAAGTTCAATATATTGGAAGGTGATGTTGATTGCAAATATAGCTCAGATTTATCAGTTTTGTTTTTGATTTCATATTGTTCATACAGTAAGGACGTGAATCATAAAAATGTAGGGTTGAAAGGGACCTCAAGAAGTCAAGTCCAATACCCTGTGTTGAGGCAGGACAAAGTAAACCTAGACCATCCCTGACACGTGTTTGTCCAACCTGTTCTTAGTGAGGCTCTAGACAGGACTTTTTCAGCATAGATGTGAAACTTAGAAAAAAAAAATCTCTGTAAAATCTGAAATTCTGCTTGCAATTTGGAAACCAATTAAAGAAACAAGTACCGTACAGACCATCTACTTTACAAATTTAATATTAAAATATGGGAAGGATGTAAAGAATGAGCAATATGCAAATAAAAATATCTACTAATAGAGCACAAACCCATCAGCTGCAGACGGGATGGTCACAGGTTTCTGTAAAAGCCGGCCCCTTGACAAGAGCTGCAGTATGTGGTTTTGGAAGTGGGTGATAGGTTCATAGGTTTCAATTCCAGGGGTTCTCTGGAACTTGAGCAGCTGTTAGGAATCCCTCTGATATTTATGACCAAGTGATGGCCACAGCTATCAGCATCAGGAGCAGGAGAAAGAAGCCTGCCAAGCACTGCAATCAATCAAGGAAGGAGGCAATGCTAAGCAGTGGGCCAGAAGCCCCTAAGGCAGAGGCACTTACCCATGCACTGGGCTCCATTCTGATCTGTTACACTAGTGTACAACTAGAATAACTACATTGACTTCATTGAAGTCATTCCTGATTTAGAGCAGTGTAAGAACAGAATCAACCCTGTATCCACCACCTTCAGCTCACTCAGATCTTGGCCTAGGTTTCTACTAGTAGTTCATGTCTCCCTCCCCAATTGACCCCTATTGCCTTTGAAGCCACTATCCCTACATCCCTCCAACAGAAGGGGGTTCACTCTACCAACCTTCTCAAAGCAGACATTTTAGGGGTTTGCAGCATGCTGTGCTTCAAAGCTGCACCCTAGAACCCCTATATTCACCACTGTCATGTAATTATGCTATATTTTGTACAAAGTATGCCTTGTGAGATATTATTTTAAAAGTTTTTATCTATTGTATATTAATATCCTGTTGGATTGTATGTGAAGTTATGAAGTTTTGCTGTGTGTGTGTTACTGAAATATGTTGTAAGGTTGTGAACACTCACAACAAGCCTTTCAGGTGCAACAAAGGAGGAGCCAGACACACTGATGACCTGTTAAAGGACTCCATACCCCCAAGAATCACATACAATGGAGACTTCTCAGAGATAGCACATAGACAATGGAAACTGCTTGACGCATGTCATAGCAAAGCCTCTTTTCAGCAAGCTAAACGAAGCTATAAAAGAGGGGAAGTAACATCATCACTTGGCCTCTCACCCCCCACAACTCAACACCTGGAAACATATCTGGAGGGGAAAGACTGAACTGGGGAGGTGGTTTCAGGCTGGAAGAGAATTCCAGCCTATGTATGGAAGATCTGTAACCTGCTTGTATTATCTACCAGGGGGAGACACTGCTTGATTGAAATCCTATCTAGTTTATATAACTCAGATTGTGATTTTACTTTTATTTCTTAGATAGATTTTAAGTGATTATAAGTAATAAGTGTACAGATCAAAGTTGGCTCTCTGTAGTTAATAAATCTGTTTTATATTTTACTCAAAACAGGGTGTTTTGTTTGAAGTGCTTGGGAAATCTGCTCAGGAACAACAGCTGGTGCATGTCCTCTCTACATTGAGGGAGGGGCGGACTGGGTTATAAATTTACACTGGTCAGGCTTCTGACCAGGGCAAGACAGTACAACTCAGGGGTGCAAAGCTGGGGAGCTGGGGGAAATTGGCTGGAGCCTCCTCTATTGTTGGTTCATGAGTGGCTGGCAAAAGCATTCATGTAACTCAGCTGGGTGTATCCCTGCTGGTGGATGTCTTTGTAAGTGCAGTACCTGGAGAGGTTTGCAGCTTGTCACAGCATCACAGTATGAGAGGTAAGACAGTGGGCTTAGTGGTACCCTAGTTCCAGGTTGCACCCTGGGGAACCCATCACAGGGGGCATTTATCTTTCTCACAGCCAAGTCTGAGCCTAGCAGTTGGGTGCTGTCTTTCCTGGGGCTACTCTGATACGGGCCGAGAAATATAAAGCCGTTCCCTTGTCTTTCAAATAGGAAGTAAAGGCAGATAACCAGATCCTCAACATGTATAACTTGGCATAGCTACTATTGACTTCAATAGACCTACGCTGAATTACAGCAGCTGAGGATCTGGCCCAGGGGTTGTAAAACCAGAAACACTCTCAAATTAGACTTAGAAAGTGAAGGGAGAGTTTTTCGAAGGCAAAAATTGTAATTATGAGTCAAAATCCCATTGACTTTCAAAGGAAGTTAGGTGCCTGACTGCGCCTTGTGCTTTTGAAAATCTTCACACAAGTTTAAAAAGCCCCACAATAATTGTTTATAATACTTTCCTCAGATGAAAAGCATTTCCAAATGTAAAGCATTAACTTTAATTTATTATTGAAAAAGCAAAACACTGTAAATTACATCCAATTTTGCATGACACTTTCATACACAGATCCCAATCTGAATACAACCTGCTTGAACTTTGAAGCCATTAAATAATCAATTCTTCTTTGTAACCCTCATTGTTTTTAGTACACAGGGTGAATAGGCTTCTGTTGCTAATTTAACACCTGAAAATTTGCATGCTTAACCAAAGGTTATATAGTCTAGTGGATTAAGGGCCTAATTCTTCTCTCGTGTACTCAGGCTTTACACTTGTGTAACTCCATTGAATTTAATGGAATTATTTCTAATTTATACCAATGTAATTGAAAGGAGAATTAATAGTCAAACTCATGTACAAGCAGGAAGAATTGAAAATCTTGGCACAGTCAAGGAACTATGATGTGACTAGAATAACAGAGACTGGGGGGGGGGGGAACTCACATGACTGGAGCACTGTCATGGATGGGTTTAAACTGTTCAGGAAGGACAGGCAGGGAGAAAAGGTGGAGATGTAGCACTGTATGTAAGGGAGCGGTATGATTGCTCAGAGCTCCAGTATGAAACTGGAGAAAAGCCTGTTGAGAGTCTTTGGGTTAAGTTTAAAGGCGAGAGCAACAAGGGTGATGTTGTGGTGGGTATCTGCTATAGACCAGCAGACCAAGAGGATGAGGTAGACGAGGCTTTTTTTGGACAACAGAAGTTTCCAGATCACAAGCCCTGGTTCTCATGGGGGACTTCAATCACCCGGACATCTGCTGGGAGAGCAATACAGCAGTGCACAGACAATCCAGGAAGTTTTTGGAGAGTGTTGGGGACAACTTCCTGGTGGAAGTTCTGGAGGAACCAACTAGGGGCCATGCTCCTCTTGACCTGCTGCTCACAAACAGGGAAGAATTGGTAGGGGAAGTAGAAGTAGATGGCAACCTGGGCAGCAGTGACCATGAGATGGTCGAGTTCCGGATCCTTACAAAGGGAAGAAAGGAGAGCAGAAGATTATGGACCCTGGGCTTTAGAAAAGCAGACTTTGACTCCCTCAGGGAACTGATAGACAGGATTTCCTGGTTTCTGAGTAACAGCCGTGTTAGTCTATATTCGCAAAAAGAAAGGGAGTACTTGTGGCACCTTAGAGACTAACCAATTTATTTGAGCATAAGCTTTTGTGAGCTACAGCTCACTTCATCGGATGCATACTGTGGAAACTGCAGAAGACATTATATACGCAGAGACCATGAAACAATACCTCCTCCCACCCCACTCTCCTGCTGGTAATAGCTTATCTAAAGTGATCACTCTCCTGGGAGGCTAATATGAGGGGGAAAGGAGTCCAGGAGAGCTAGCTGTATTTTAAAGAAGCCTTATTGAGGGCGCAGGAACAAACCATCCCGATGTGCAGAAAGAAGAGCAAATATGGCAGGTGACCATCTTGTCTTAACAGAGAAATCTTCAGTGAGCTTAAACACAAAAAGGAAGCTTGCAAGAAGTGGAAACTTGGACAGATGACTAGGGAGGAGTATAAAAATATTGCTCGAGCATGCAGGGATGTAATCAGGAAGGTCAAAACACAATTGGAGTTGCAGCTACCAAGGGATGTGAAGGGTAACAAGAAGGGTTTCTACAGGTATGTTAGCAACAAGAAGGTGGTTAGGGAAAGTGTGGGACCCTTATTGAATGGGGGAGACAACCTAGTGACAGATGATGTGGAAAAAGTTGAAGTACTCAATGTGATGGGTTCCCTCCCTTAGGATGGCACCTGACGTGCTGAGATATCACTGAGCCCGCCTGTTATGCGAGCCTGGGCACCCTTTTTACCTGTCTTGCTGAGCCAAGCTGTTAAGCCTCCTCCAGCACACACAGGCAGGGCCACACCCAACTGCAGAACAGAACAGACACTGAGAAGGCTCATCTTAAGGGACTTGCCCCAGCATTCAGGTATCCCACCTCCCTTGGAGTGCAGACCCAAAGGTATATTATGAAATCTGCCTCCGCCCTCAATGTGGACCCCCCCCCCCAGTTAGAAATTACAGAAACTGGGTTTAATAATAAACAAAACAAAGTTTAACAACTATAAAAGGCAGATTTTAAGTAGTACAAGGGGTAGCAAACAGAACAAAGCAGATTACTAAGCAAATAAAACCAAACATGCAAACTAGGCTTGTTTCACTAAAGAAATTTCTTACAAACAGTAATTTCTCACCCAAGATATTGCTGCAGGCAGATTACAGACAGTCTTGAAAGGCAGATACACTGGTCTCCAGCTAAAAACCTCAGTTATTACTCCTCATAAGCTGGATGCCCTTCCAGTTTGGGTTCAACCCTTCTCCCCTCAGTTCAGTTATTGCTTCCAGGTGTTTTTTCAGTTTCTCTTTGGGTGGGGAGGCAGAGGAGAACCATGATGATGTCACTCCCCTGCCTGATATAGCTCTTGAGTAAGGCGGGAACCCTTTGTCTTCTAGTGGAAAACCACTAGCATTCCAAAAGGGGAGGAGGGTATCCAGTACCTGGTAACTCGGATCCATGTCTTCATGGCTGTGGCAGCCATTGCTTGTAGGCTGTCTCCAGCATCCATCTTTTCCATTGTTGTTCCATTCTATTGTTGTACCTGAAGGGCTGGTTGGGGGTGACACTTGAAATACAGATACAGAGTTAATATTCCTAACTTCAGATACAGAAATGATGCAGGTGTATAAATTGGATAATCACATTCAGTAAATCCTAACCTTTCCAATGATATCTCACATGAGCCATCTTGCATAAAGTATATCTCAGTTATGTCATATTAATATCATAAGCATATTTTCATGAATAATATGGAGTGAAACGTCACACCTTCCCCCTGAGATTACTGCCAGAGGGGTGGTCTCTGACCAATGGGGAGGCAGTATACCTAAAATCCCTTTTTGGCTTTGGTTATACAGCCTCCAAGTGTTGCCAAACACTGCAAAGTTATCCATAGGTGCTTTTGCAATGTTCTGGGTTTCTGTTTCCAGGTTGCCTGAAAACACTGGTGTGTAGCACTGTGTACATAATGCAGATGTCAATATCTTTTAAAGTGTAGGTGTCTTGGCATTTAGCCATCAATGCCATGAGGCAGCGTGCCTCAGTTTCCCCTTCCACACAGCAGTCTAGATTGGTTATGCTTTCCCTGCTGTGCCAATCTCTAAGCCTGTCTACAGGTACTAGTTGAGAGGCAGTATTCTCATAGGACTTTCTTGTTCCCACTCCTAGTCTGTACCAAAGATTTTTCCAAAAAAGCATGCACCCACCGGCGCCAACAGAAGTCGGCGCCTATGCTTCCTGGCAGCCAGCAATCTGGACAGACTTCCTACTGTCAGGCAAAATGCTCCCATCCCCCTTGAAGAAAAGCCTGTCTGTAGCCTCTGGGTAAGAGCTGGCCTCAAGCACACCCACCCTTGTCAGCAGACAGTGTTCCACTGCTGTAGAGGAATTAAAGAGACACTCTCCAATTTCCCCAGCAGTTTCTGTGACTTCACTTTTTCCCGATGGATTGGATGAATGGACTATAAGGTGGATAGAAAGCTGGCTAGATTGTCGGGCTCAACGAGTAGTGATCAATGGCTCGATGTCTAGTTGGCAGCTGGTATCAAGCGGAGTGCCCCAGGGGTCATTCCCGGGGGCTGGTTTTGTTCAACATCTTCGTTAATGATCTGGATGATGGGATGGATTGCACCCTCAGCAAGTTCACAGATGACACTAAGATGGGGGGAGAAGTAGATGCGCTGGAGGATAGGTGTAGGGTAGAATGACCTAGACAAATTGGAGGAGTGGGCCAAAAGAAATCTGATGAGGTTCAACAAGGACAAGTGCAGAGTCCTGCATTAGGATGGAAGAATCCCATGAGCTGCTACAGGCTGGGGACCGACTGGCTAAGCGGCAGTTCTGCAGAAAAGGACCTGGGAATTACAGTGGATGAGAAGCTGGATATGAGTCAACAGTGTGTCCTTGTTGCCAAGAAGGCTAACGGCATATTGGACTGCATTAGTAGGAGTGTTGCCAACAGATCGAGGGAAGTGATTATTCCCCTCTATTCGGGACTGATGAGGCCACACCTAGAGTACTGTGTCCAGTTTTGGGCCCCCCACTACAGAAAGAATGTGGATAAATTGGAGAGAATCCAGTGGAGGGCAATGAAAATGATTAGGGGGCTGGAGCACATGACCTGTGAGGAGAGGCGGAGGGCACTGGGCTTATTTAGTCTGCAGAGGAGAAGAGTGAGGGGGGATTTGATAGCAGCCTTCAATTATCTGAAGGGGGGTTCCAAAGAGGATGGAGCTAGACTGTTTTCAGTGGTGGCAGATGACAGTACAAGGAGCAATGGTCTTAAGTTGCAGTAGGGGAGGTCTAGGTTGGATATTAGGAAAAACTATTTCACTAGGAGGGTGGTGAAGCACTGGAATGGGTTACCTAGGGAGGTGGTGGAATCTCCATCCTTAGAGGTTTTTAAGGCCCTGCTTGACAAAGCTCTGGCTGGGATGATTTAGTTGGGGTTGGTCCTGCTTTGAGCAGGGGGTTGGACTAGATGATTTCCTGAAATCTATTCCAAACCTAATCTTTTATGAAGAGCTCTGAATTGGAAAGCAGAGAACCCATTTAGCTCAGTATCTTGTTTAACTCAACCATTTAAATTATTTACCCTTTTCTAATATGGCTGTTTTATATATTGACCTAAACCTTGTCCCACTGAAATCCTAGAGAATGTTGCTATGGAATTCAATTGGACCAGGGTTTAGTGTTACATCAGGTGTAGCATATAATTAATGTTTCACTTATGATTACAAGCCACACCTGCTCCCATAGGAATGTTGAATATGGCTGTGACGTTCCTCACATTTTAGATATCAGCAGGTTGTAAGATAAAGGCTGGAACTGTCAGTCTTTTAGGCCAGATCTACACTAGGAGCACTTTGCCAGTTTAGCTACACTGGTATACTAGGTTTCAGAGTAACAGCCATGTTAGTCTGTATTCGCAAAAAGAAAAGGAGTACTTGTGGCACCTTAGAGACTAACCAATTTATTTGAGCATAAGCTTTCGTGAGCTACAGCTCACTTCATCGGCTAGCAGAGTGCTTCCAGTATGGACACAGCTTATGGCAGCGCCAGTAGAGCTTATTCCAGTTTCCCCTCTTCCCCCCGCACCCCAGCAAAATAAGATATACTGGCAAAAGCACAGTTTTGCTGGTGTAACCGTCTACTCCTTTTGTTAGCATAGCAGTGTTGATCACAGAGCCTACCTCATCCCATGCCTGACCAACATAGCTTGCTCACAACAGTTTGCAGTATTGACCTGATCTTAGAAATGAAATCCCAATATGCTTTACTGTTCTGCTGCTGAACAATGAGCCTCTGTTGGGGGTCAATCATCCTATGGTGGTGTGGAAGTATAGCATTGTATAACGTTGTATAAGGGGACATGCTGGATACATTGTATATGAGAGGGCATGCCAAAACATGTTACAAAGTATCTGAGGGAGCACACGTAGGGACAGTTAGCTTTTGAATGGAGAAGCAATTAAGATAGAGCCAGCACGTCTAAGAAGCAGGCATCAGAATGGAAGGTGTGAAGGGCAATTAGTTAACTGGAAGCTGTTAAAGGAGATTGTTAAGGGTGGCAGGTAATTGAAGATACGTGACTGGTCTCAGGGATCTGGAAGGGTGGTGACTAAAATCTTTTTCTTCTTTTGTCTGTAACTTCTCTGTAACTTGTTCTCCAAAAAACTGTATAAATTAAGAGACACAAGCCCCACTCGGGGGGCTCACTTCTAAATGTATTAGCAGAGCAGCTTTGCTAATAAAACAGAGTGGTCTGATAAATTGTGAGTCTGAGTCAAACTTTGACAATTTGGAGGTTCCACCGAGATGGCAAGCGGCTTCACTGAGGCTGTGTGATCCCTGACTGCCTTGCAGGATGATCGTGGCAGCCGGCGCCTGGACACTTAGTCCAAGCGATCCTCCACAAGACAGAAAGGTACACAGCAGCAGCGCAGTCTACGCCATTGAACTTGTTGGTTCCCACTCTGTTTGGGTAGGGGTCTTTGGATCCAGCTTCTGGAATCAGATGTCTCAGGTAATTATTATTTTTGTGCTTTAACCGGTTTGAGGACTGTCTTGTCTTTGTGTCTATCCGTCTTCCCCGTGGTGTGTATGTGAATCTGGGAGCCATCTCTGTCCGGAGACTGGCTGACCAAGGGGTCCCCGTCCCCAAGGTCTGAATAAGTGGAATCTGCACAGCTGCAGCCGCACCACGCCTTGGGTATAACCCCTGGTGTGAAAGCAAGGGCAGTTGAGGCAGTAGCCTGTGGGCTCCTTTCTGTGTGTTGCACCGGGCACCGCTCTGCTGAGCCCGAATTTCCTTCTTGTGTGAGTGCTGTGTGAAGTCCTCCTGGATGGGTAATCAGAAGTCTAAGGTAGAACAGTTCCCTAGGGGAACTCCAGCTTATTTTATGTATTTTAGGAGGGGTCCGGACTCTTGTAGGTTTCTTGAAAAATGGTCCAAATTAGCTCTAGAGAACCCCAAATTACAGTGGCCACTGTTAGGTTCTTGGGACAAGGATCGAGTGGATGCTTTAAAAAGCAAACTCGTCCTCCCAAAAACCAAATTGGAGAGAGGAGAAGTAGACTGCTTCATGCAGTGGTGGGAAGAGGCAAATCGTAGATGGACTGAGTCAAAACTCACCTCTCTTAAAAATTCTATCAAAAAACTAACAGTTCAATTGGATGCAGTCTCTCCCACCACTGTCCTCACCACAATTAGATTCTAGGGTATTTGTATGTCTCTCTCTGTTTCTGTTGCCAAGCCCCTGTTTAGCATTTTGGAGGGCTGACCCTTAATCTCTTGACAAGCAAATGCATTTCTTGACAGCCTGATTCATGTTGGCCCATTGCCCTCTAATGGCTTGGAGCTCCAATTGCTTCCCTGTCTGACAGGGGCCGAATAACTTCTTGTGACTGCCAAATGGATGATAATGGCCAATGCATTTGAAAAGCTCATTAATAAAATTCCCTTCTCTGTCCATTTTTATAACACAACCTCTTTTTTCTCCTTGTTTCCTCTTTCCACTTCTGCAAGTTGTTTCCCTCTCCCTCCCACTGCAGAATTATTTTGCATATTGGTATCGCTGCACTATTCACATTCGTCTCTCTGTTTTGGCCTTTAAGTCTTATCACCAGAAGCTACTGACACCCTGATCTGTCTATAGTACTGTCTGAAATTGCCTAGCAAGGCCCCTGGTATTTTGTTCACACCAGCTTCTAAAACTACCGCTTCCTTCTTTCATTGGCCTTGCCTGCCAACCGTGATTTTTTTTTTCAAGTGTACTTTTAGCTGTTTTGTTTTCTAGGAAAGTTTGGGCCCAATCCCACAACCCTTGCTTGTATCCTAACTCAAAACAAGAAGAGGAACCATTGGTGTAAGGATTACTCATAAGCCACTACAGTGTAAGAGCAGATTTCTATTTTAGGCGCTTAAAACAGTGTCTCATGTCTGCTGAGCCATAGCAGATGGTGGGGCCTTGCAGGTCAGTTACCTATTGCAGGGAAAATCAGTGACACAGAGCCTGGGTATAGTAGAACCTCAGAGTTATGAACACCAGAGTTACAAACTGATCAGTCAACCGCACCCCTCATTTGGAACCAGAAGTAAGCAGACAGCAGAACCCAACCCACAAAAAAAGCAAATACTGTGCGGTACAGTACTGTGTTAAACGTAAACTACTGAATAAAGGGAAAGTTTTAAAAAATTTGACAAGGTAAGTAAACTGTTTCTGTGCTTGTTTTATTCAAATTAAGATGTTAAAAGCAGCATTTTTCATCTGCATAGTAACGTTTCAAAGCTGTATGAAGACAATGTTCAGTTGTAAACTTTCGAAAGAAGCACCATAATGTTTTGTTCAGAGGTACGAACATTTCAGAGTTACGAACAACCTCCATTCCCGAGGTGTTCGTAACGCTGAGGTTCTACTGTATTTTCTAAGTGTAACTGTAACCCACATGCCTAAAAGGGAGATATCTCTTCTTGAGAGGAGAAGCGGGGGAGGAATGAGTTGTATCTGGCTCAGTGTAGCTAGGCAGATCAATGCACAGTTAGCATCCACACCTAGAAGTTTCTGGAATCGGGTATGGTAGTTTTGGGCATGATCAATAAGCTCCCTGTAGCTGGACTAATAGACTCAATTGAGGTCAATTAGTCAGAGTAGCTGCTCAGCCACAGGAACAGAAACTAAGCAGGCTGTTTCCCCCTAACTCTGAAGCATTTTGCAGAATGATAGTGATGTTAACTTTCTCACAGAGAAGCCCTGGCAGGGTTAGTTATGGAAAGCGGAGATTGGGAGGGAAAATTATTTTTCATTTTAATTGTATAGCTTGAATGTTTGATTTCAGCCAAACTCTTTAAAATTGTCTCAGCCAGTATGGTTTACCAACTCTTTTCTTATTTAAATGTGATGATGGGAAAAGAGTCGTCTATATTTTGCTATTCTCGGTTGTTATTTTTCTTGTAACAGATTTTTCATTTATCCACTTAATACTGATTGGTTGGTTAATTACTCTAGCTAATGGAGCGATTCCACAGTGCAGTGGAGGAGGAGAAAGTCTTCCTGGGTTCCAGCTGGAGACAGTAGGGAAGAGGTTGTTGCAGTGCTTTTGACTCAGCAGACTGTATCAAGTTGATGAACAAAGACTCGAGGGAACACAGCCTAAGCTTCTGGAGTGCCGAGTTACTTCCAACTGTTTCTGTAGGACTGACCAGTTTAGATCAAACTGAATTTACTATATGCAGATTAATAAGCAGCCTTGCTCTGTATTAGAATTTAAGCTATTACTGTTTCTTTATGTTTATAAAGTTGTATTTAAGAATTAAGTTTATTCCTCGTGTTCTTTTCGGACTTGATTGTGGGGAGGTTGACCCTGTGCAATTCATAGAATCATAGAATATCAGGGTTGGAAGGGACCCCCTGAAGGTCATCTAGTCCAACCCCCTGCTCGAAGCAGGACCAATTCCCAGTTAAATCATCCCAGCCAGGGCTTTGTCAAGCCTGACCTTAAAAACCTCTAAGGAAGGAGATTCTACCACCTCCCTAGGTAACGTATTCCAGTGTTTCACCACGCTCTTAGTGAAAAAGTTTTTCCTAATATCCAATCTAAACCTCCCCCACTGCAACTTGAGACCATTACTCCTCGTTCTGTCATCTGCTACCATTGAGAACAGTCTAGAGCCATCCTCTTTGGAACCCCCTTTCAGGTAGTTGAAAGCAGCTATCAAATCCCCCCTCATTCTTCTCTTCTGCAGGCTAAACAATCCCAGCTCCCTCAGCCTCTCCTCATAACTCATGTGTTCCAGACCCCTAATCATTTTTGTTGCCCTTCGCTGGACTCTCTCCAATTTATCCACATCCTTCTTGAAGTGTGGGGCCCAAAACTGGACACAGTACTCCAGATGAGGCCTCACCAATGTCGAATTGAGGGGAACGATCACGTCCCTCAATCTGCTCGCTATGCCCCTACTTATACATCCCAAAATGCCATTGGCCTTCTTGGCAACAAGGGCACACCGCTGACTCATATCCAGCTTCTCGTCCACTGTCACCCCTAGGTCCTTTTCCGCAGAACTGCTGCCTAGCCATTCAGTCCCTAGTCTGTAGCTGTGCATTGGGTTCTTCCGTCCTAAGTGCAGGACCCTGCACTTATCCTTATTGAACCTCATCAGATTTCTTTTGGCCCAGTCCTCCAATTTGTCTAGGTCCCTCTGTATCCTATCCCTCCCCTCCAGCGTATCTACCACTCCTCCCAGTTTAGTATCATCCGCAAATTTGCTGAGAGTGCAATCCACACCATCCTCCAGATCATTTATGAAGATATTGAACAAACCGGCCCCAGGACCCACCCCTGGGGCACTCCACTTGATACCGGCTGCCAACTAGACATGGAGCCATTGATAACTACCCGTTGAGCCCGACACTAGCCAGCTTTCTACCCACCTTATAGTGCATTCATCCAGCCAATACTTCCTTAACTTGCTGACAAGAATACTGTGGGAGACCGTGTCAAAAGCTTTGCTAAAGTCAAGAAACAATACATCTACTGCTTTCCCTTCATCCACAGAACCAATAATCTCATCATAAAAGGCAATTAGATTAGTCAGGCATGACCTTCCCTTGGTGAATCCATGCTGGCTGTTCCTGATCACTTTCCTCTCATGCAAGTGCTTCAGGATTGATTCTTTGAGGACCTGCTCCATGATTTTTCCAGGGACTGAGGTGAGGCTGACTGGCCTGTAGTTCCCTGGATCCTCCTCCTTCCCTTTTTTAAAGATTGGCACTACAATTCTTGCTGAAAATCCCCGGTGACTGAATTCTGGGTTTCTATGTGCTTTTCTATAGCAATTGTGTTGAAGCCAATGTTTTCCCCAGGAATTTAAATTGTTTTCCCCTCCCCCCCGAATTTACGGGGAAGGGGAGATGAAGGGTGAGACAGTGAGAGTGAAGGTAGGTTCAATTTACAAGCATTTAACTCTAAGATGTGGGTTGTCACAGATGCAGCCAATGTGTCTTCTACAACCTGAACATCTAGAAATGCATCTGCTGGCTTACTACTGACATCAAGATAATGTGGACAATGACTTACTACTTTAAGCCTATTTGCATTGGTGCATTCATCAGCCATGTATGCAAATTTTTTGAATGTGGTGAGAGAGTTCTTCACTTTTTCAACGGCTGAGTCTTTCACTGTTGTACCACATGCTTCTAACCAGTCAGCTGAGTTTCTTGCAGAAAGATAGTGAGCATTTGCATCCAACTTCCAGATTAACAAGTGACAATGCACTTAACATTGGCCTCCAGTTTGTAGTGTGTGGTATCTCTTGCTTAAATAGAAAGTAGGATGCACCAGCCATGTTTGTTCAAATAAACTGTGTTGTGTATCCAACATTCTTAACAGCCTCATTAAGTACTACTAAAATTGGTTTTGACAGTGATTGGCTTATAAGGCTTTTTTAGGGGCTTAGTGTTTTTCAGCCTTTTCATGTAGTTTGTCAGCATTGGCTTTGCTGATCGGTCTGGCAAAATTGTTTGATATTTTTTGTTTTAGAAATCTATAACTGTTGTGTGTTTTGGCATAATTTGCATTATCCTTATGTTAAATTTGCATTTAATTTATTCATATGTTTTATATGTAGCAGATCAAAGTGAAAATGAAAAGACAAAAACAAATGCAACCATTTTTCCACTCTAAGGCCTCAAAAACCAACCAAGCTGAAGAACACACTAAGAATGAAGAATATACCAACATGACATCTGAAGGTTCACACAGTATATTAACATCTGAACAGCCTGAAGCACAAATACGGCTACCTACTTAAACAGTGTCTCCAAAACTTAAAGGCAGTTCCCAATGTTTGTTGAAGTTTTCCATTTACTGAAGTTACAAAAGATGGCTACTGATGCACCTCTTGCAAAAATCTTCCAAAGAAGGAAAGCTTCCCAATGCTACAACTGGTAAAGATGTGGACAAAATGGAGAAAGTCCTGAGAAGAGCACCCAAAACGATTAAAGGTTTGGAAAACATGACCTATGAGGAAGATTGAAAAAACTGGGTTTGTTTAATCTGGAAAAGAGAAGACTGAGGGGGGACATAACAGTTTTCAAGCACATAAAAGGTTGTTACAAGGAGGAGGGAGAAAAATTGTTGTTCTTAATCTTTGAGGATAGGACAAGAAGCAATGGGCTTAAATTGCAGCAAGGGATGTTTAGATTGGACATTAGGAAAAACTTTAACTTTCAGGACGGTTAAACACAGGAATAAATTGCCTAGGGAGGTTGTGGAATCTCCATCACTGGAGATTTTTAAGAGCAGGTTAGACAAACACCTGTCAGGGATGGTCTAGACAATACTTAGTCCTGCCATGAGTGCAGGGGACTGGACTAGAAGACCTCTCGAGGTCCCTTCCAGTCCTACGATTTATACATTAATGCTCCATTTGTCCCTTGGTCTGCACATTTCTTTGTATGACTTCTGGACAGATTTTATTTGCCAATTGTGTTTAGTCCCTTATGGTGGGCCTGGGAATGTTAGGTCCAGGATTTGATTGAGGAATGTACTCATGATTGAGCCTTTGGGGTATTTCCAGATAATTAATACATATGAATAACATGGATATGGTGTAATATACCCTATCCATATTATGTATGTGTACATATGACACCACCTTATATTCAAGCATAACAATTTTTTAAATTTATTGTAGTCTGGCTCTTTTACTTTGGTGCCACAGAGCGCAACACATTCCTATTAGGGTAATTACAGTTACCACCTGTATTATTATTAGTAGCAGGTTGAGTATTTTGAATTACTGGGATAGGCATTATTACAGTGTGTTTCACAGTGCTATGTATATGAGAAGTAAAAGAAATATGGAGTAGTGACATTACAAAAGAGGCCTTTATACATAAATGTCTTGTCTTTAATTACTACACAGTACTGTCCTATCATATTCTAGGTCAGTGGTTTTCAAAGTTCGGGTTGCGACCCAGTACTGGGTCGCAGAATGCAAGGGACTGGGTCGCCTTGCTCAGCATCCAGGGACCCTGGTGGCTGGCCAGTAAAAACTCGTAGTCCCTACCTGTTCTGATACCACACTGCGTCCTGGAAGCGGCCAGCAGCAGGTCCTGCTCGGAGGCAAGGGGGCCACGGGGCTCTGGGCGCTACCCCGCCCCCGAGCACTGGCTCTGCACTCCCATTGGCTGGGCTGGGGGGGGCAGCGCCTGCAGGCAAGAGCCGAATGGAGCCACTTGTGCACCTCCACCTAGGAGCCAGACCCGCTGGCCGCTTCTGGGGCACAGGACAGGCGGGAACCCCCTCTCTGCACCGTGACTGTGCCGCTGGCTGGGAGCCACTGCAGGTAAGCCTGCGCCCCAACCCCCTGCCCCAGCCCTGAGCCTCCCCAACCCATAGCCCCCTCCTTCACTCCAATCCCCTCATCCCCCAGCCCCACCCGCAGCCCTCACCCCAACTCTCTGCCCCAGCCCTGAGCCCCCTCCTACACCCAAGCTCCTCATCCCCAGCTCAGATGGGTTGCAGGCATCAATTTTCTTCAAGTGGGTCGCCAGAAAAAAAGTTATAGGTTACCCGTACTGCTGGTTGTTACCCTTTGGTAAGCTTCACGGGACAGGGAACAGGAACAGCTTGCTTCCCTGTTCCATTGGTTGCATTGCTCTGTGATACACCAGGAGCAGACGTAGATCCCGTTGTTGCATATGGATGCTGTCTTCCAGATGACCTACTGAATGGATAATAATCAATATTCCTGTATCAGGATTTAGTGTTGGTACCCAGAGACTGAACAAGATTGTTTTAATAACATGGGCCACACTTAGGATGAAGTGTCACTCACCCCAGATTGTGACTGGTACTACCAGGGAATTTGTTTACCCAATTTGTAGTTACCGTGTAACTTAATTTTTTTTACCAATTTGTTTTTTCCTTGCCTTCATGTTGTTCGCTGCTATTTGTGTGTTGTGTTGTTTAAACAGTTTAGCAATGTTATGCACATGGTAAATGTTGTACAGCTATAATACAACAGTACAGCAAAAATACAGTAACGATACAGTTACTTTTACACAGTAGCTAAATTCAAATTAAATGACAGTTTAACCCTGGTTCAGCTAGTGGTTTTTAGCTGATTTGTTAACTTAATTGTTTATATATGGTAGACTGAGGTGTAGTTGACCAGTCTCTTATTTATAAAGCCCTTCATTTTTCTTTTTTTGGGGGGGGGGTGTGTGTGTGTTAACTGTATACTGATATTTTTTGGTGTTTTTGTGGTGTGATATTTTCTGGTGGTTTTGGTTTGTGGGATGCAACCTT